AAAACCCAACAAACAAATGAAAGCAAGAAATCAAAAGAATAGCTTTAAACATGCTCAACGTGACTTTTAAAAGTCCTGCTGCAGAGCTGAAGTGATGTGACAGGGTGTTCTCATCAGTATCTTCGTAATTATAGGCCAACTTTAGTAATGATTAACGAGCAAATCATACAGTGGTGAGTTCATTTGCTTTGGATGTGCCATTTTTTAGCTGAAGGGAAAACATTATTCTCCTGTAATGATTTTAAGCAGGCGGTATTTACATTGGCACAATGAGTTGAGCACAAGTGAAGCGACTGCAATAAAGCTACCCAGAACAGACCCTACTAATTAGATGTTTTAATGTAGTCATACCCCACTTCTCCAGCATTGTTTGGGAATGAAGTATTTCACATGTGTTCAGTGTGCTACATAGTGAGGTTTATTCCTCTTGCATCTCAATTTTTAAATTTAATATTTTGTCATATATTTCTAAAGTGTTCTGCCTAATTCCTTGCTTCAATAAAAAGTATAGCATTTTTGGATGCATATGATTTGATATAACCTTAGAGTGTGATGGTGTTTTCAGGGGTCATGAAAATACATAAGGTTATTCGCCCCAAAGGAAATAGCCCCATATTTACTAGCCATGCTAAGACCAGTAAATAGGGGGCTATTCACTTTAGGGGCAAATAACCTTATGTACTCTCTCTTTTCTCTAGCTATATGCAGCATGCCCATCTCATGTAACTTCATTCCTGTATTTATTTACCATGCCATAAGGAGAAACATGGTAATTTAGGAAGACCAGAAAGGAAACTAAGTAGCCAAGGTTGTTAAATAAATATTAAATTATTATTATTTTTTTGAGACAGGGTCTTGCTCTGTTGCCCAGGCTGGAGTGCAATGGCGTGATCTCAGCTCACTGCAACCTCTGCCTCCTGGGTTCAAGCAATTCTCCTACCTCAGCCTCCCAAGTAGCTGGGATTACAGGCATGTGCCACCATGCCCGGCTAATTTTTATATTTTTAGGAGAAACAGGGTTTCACCATGTTGCCCAGGCTGGTGGAAAACTCCTGACCTTGAGATCTGCCCGCTTTGGCCTCCCAAAGTGCTGGAATTACAGGTGTGACCCACCGCGCCCGACCTAGTAAATGTTATTTTATACACAATTTGAAGTCAACAGACTTGGGATAAACTTCCAGCTAAGAATTCATAACAAGTATTTTTTTGTTGTTGTTTTGGGTTTGTGACTATTTCATAAAATTGACAAATATTTTGAAAACTACATTTTGATAACAACTACATAGGCTTTCTAAGTCTGAAAGCTACTTAATGAGAATCAACAAAGTACTGGCTTATTCCATTGGCTAGAGTAACTTGTGGTATATGGGGTAATGTAAACCAGTCATGACAGCAAAGATAAACTCAGATTTATCTTTGCTTCTCAAAAAATATACAATGTGTACCACTTGAAAGCCTGCTGAATGAATTCTTAGCAACCTGTAGGTGTTGATCACAAGCACTTCATATCCTGTGGTGGAAATAACAAGTAATTACCATTTAGATTCTCCTACTGTTAATTAATTTTAAGATTATCAGGCCCCTAATCAACCCCTGTACTTTCTCAAAATTTCCTGTTGCTAAGATGGCCACAATATTGTGTGGAATTCTCCTGATGCTTTTGGATGCTCTTAGAAGTTACTAGAACATAGTTTGAAAAAAATCACACAAATAAGATTAATTTCTGAAATTGAAGTACAAGGTCTTGAACTTGCAATTCCTAGAGCTCTACAGTAATACTTATACAGCAGGTGTTGAGTGAACATTTGGTGAGGACTAGCCTACGGTTATCACTGGTTGGCCTAGTTTGGAGTCCCCAAAATGTAAATTGTAAGACAAGGATTCACAAGCAGGTAGCTGATTTGGGAGGTGCTCACAAGGATCCCAGGTAGGTGAGTGGGGAAGGCAGGCAGGAAGGGAGAATAAGCCAGTAAAGCATTCTCTGTTACTAAGGCACCACTAAAGGCAACTGGAGCTTATTCTTGCTGGGAACCTCTGGGAAACAAGACAGACCCCATGCCTCAGAGTTATACTGTCTGAGAGAGGGAGCTGGGGTATTTATCCACCAGTTTCTGTCAATCACTGATGGAGTGTCTCCTTGTATTGTAAATTTTCAAAATTCATGTTTTCCTGCTGCTTCAACATCCCTACAAATAGGTTGTGAGCACCCTGTCCAGGCAACCAGGTGTACCAGTGTGATAAAGTTGGTCCCTGCCACTAGTTCCTCTTCCCACCCTCCCTTGACTGTGACTTAGTAACATTTAAACACACCAGTGAAATTCCCTTGCACTTTTCTTGTGTGTTCCACCCTGACCCCCTGATTAAGGCGCTTGCCCACAGGCTCTCCCCTCTCTGTCTGCTCCTCACCTGCCTGGTTGAGCCTGCTCTATCAGTGCTCCCTCCCATGTGACCCCTCCTCTTGGGATGCAGTCTCTCTAGGACCTGTGAGTATAAAAAACTACTTTTTCCTATGCCTCTTCTGTGTTCTTTTGTGGCTACACCTGACAGACCACCACGTAAGAGAACACAAAACACAGCTTTTCTGGGAGTGATAATTCCTCAGCACTTGTGTCCTGCTACATGGGCATGCTCCTGGGGCCAGAAAGAGCCCACAGGCGAGGCTCGTAGGTGTTCTCCATTGGAAATTGGGCTGGCATGCTCAGCATGATATATGGTCTGGGCTCTGATAGAATGTGCTACACTGGGGTTTCCTTGAGGAGGTGTGTAGACTCTCTCAGCTGTGTGGAACACATAAAATGTAGTTAGGAAGTGGGAGGGAGGAAAGCATGTCCCTCAGCTCTTTGGACTAGAAGAAACCTAAAGGAATGTGAATTATGGTAACTCAGGGGACACCAGATCTGAGAGAATGACTTAGCCCAAGTCCCACTGAGTTGGGGTTGTATGACGAGAAGTTATAAAAACTCTTAAATACTCTCTTTCTCAGGTAAGATTGGCT